TTGAAGTTCTGTCTGTTCAGATTCCAGAACAAAAACAAAGCAGAGGCAGAAGGTGGAAAGCAAAGATGTTGACAGTCCGGCATCTTGCTAGGTTTTTGTAACAGTGACTATGGATTTGTAGGCCACTCCTCGACTTTTTAGCTCCTGTATAATTCCTTGGGGGCAGGCAACCAGTGACTGCCACAACATATACACCTGACTTAAAGTTACTGACTCGCTGCCACTTGGAGAGCCAGTTGTCCTCTGGACTCATCATTGCAATGATTCCCATCAAAGGAAGAGCTGGTGCAGTCATCTACCATTTCTCTGTTACCCTTCACTTGTAGAAATGCATCACAATGATCATATCCATCATATTCAATCTGGTCTATAGTCTTGACCAGTGAATACAGCGGACCCGCCCACAGATGCCACAGATCCTTCAGACTGTCTCCAGGGCCATCTTCCAGGAAGGGAGAAATAGCTGGAAACCGAGTCACCGCTTCCACTCCACTGGAAGTAAACAGCCGATTCTGTCTTTGGGGTTTTGATGATAACCTCTCTGGCTGATCGGAGGTAGTTTCTCATTGTGGTTGTGGTTTTGATGTTGTTCTTTTAGAAAGTGCATTGGGTAAGTTGTAAATATTTTCACATCTCCAGCTGTTAGGAAGCCCATAAGTTGAGTAGTTAATATTCACAAAACAGTTCATGAGTTTGTTTTTCACCTTAAATACTAAATTTCTAAATGGACTAAAACACAAACTATGCTGGTTCTACCTAGGTAATATACACATGTTTTCAGCTAGATTCAGACTTTTACATTTTCCTTTCTCCAGGTGCAGAAATTCTCATTTCCTTTTTGTGGCAGTAATCTGAATTTACAATAATCAAAGTTAGCCCTTCAGTATTGACCTTATCCTCTAATTATCTTGAAAAGAGAAACATGTATTCTTGTGTTTTGTTTTCTTTATGCCTGCATATACAGTATGTTGAAATTTCATGTTTTTCCTTTCCTATCCTTATCTATATTTTCTTTGAATAAAGTAGAATAGGTCTGTATGCAAATTTTGAAACATATTTTAAAGACCCAAGGTCTAATACCAAAATATTTGGAGATGATAGCAACATGCATTTATTTAACTTTCAGTTTTATATCTTATCCTAGAATGACATTTGGCCTTGCAGAGATATTAACCAAGTGCATTTTCAACTTGTGTCTAATAATGATAGAATTAGTATCAATAGTAATTCATTGGAGGAAGAATGCCCACAAGTACAACAAAAATACCTACTCTAAGGGTTGCGGTGACTTCTTGTTGTTGCCTACATTATTGATCGCAGCATATAATTTATGAAGTTCTTTGCATCTTTCAGCATATCTTGCCTCTTTTTAAAAAATCACATTGCACTATTTATATGGTTCATACTAGATTATTTATTATGTAATAATTTATAGACCTTCTGATACTCTTGCCTCTCCTCATTATTTCCACCTGTTTTATCTCTCCAGATTATGAATTGTTTTCTACTCTTGCCTGTTTTTAATTATTTACTCTTTGCACTTGGTGAATTCTACTTTTCCAAAAGCTATTTTTTCTCACATAGCACAAAACTACATCCTCCTTTTGTCCTAAGAGTTTCTTATCTCTCCAAGTTAGAGATGAAATTAGAATTTCATCTAACTTGGGCTCAGGTAATATCTAACAGTTTCAGAATTGGCTTAGAACTCCTAGTTCAAACACTGTGCTTTCTTCCCATGGTAAGACTTGAGAACACGATTTTAAGCTCATTTCTCTTATTCTATTTGGTCTTGGGGGTTGTATTAATAATTGTATGACCATGTGATTGAAAAGCAGAAGATGGGTGTGTTTTAGGAACTCTGACTTTAGAAATAAACTTCTGGGATTCAAATTTATGCTCATAATTCATGTATAATCAGAATTAACCTATATATAATCTGGGATAATAACCTTATGGTTTGACTTATACCCCCAGACCTAATTCAAATGTTGAAATCCCAATTTCTAATCCCCCCAGAATGACTTTGTTTGGAAAGGAGTCCTTATTGATATAACTAGTTAAGATGAGTTCATGTTGGAGTAGTTCTTAACCCAAGATGAATAAGGCTAAGTCCACTTTCTGCTTCTATAACAAAATAACACTGTCTTGGTAAATTATGAACAATAGACATTTACTTGGCTCATGATTCAGCAGGATGTGAGGTCTAAGAGCATGGCTTAGAATCCAGTGAGGGCTTTGTACCGCTTCACCACATGGTGGTCATGGCGGGATGGGAGGGGACAGGTGTGCGGCAGGCAGCATGTGAGTGTGGAAAACATGAAGGAAAATCAGGTAAAAATCATGCTACTCACATAATAACCATTCCCACCACAATGATATAAACCTATTTATGAGGTCCAAACCTTCCATGATTCAGACACCTCCTTAATGGCCCAGCTTTCAACATGATCCCGTAGGTTATTATCCTTTATCATGAGTTTGGGAGAGTACACTTAAACCATCGCAAGTGGTGTCTTTGTACATTTGTACATAGTAAAGACATGATGTGAAAGTGAAGACATTGGCAAGATGTATTCTGCAATCTACCAGTAGCTACATGGGGAGCATGAATAGATTTTCCCTCACAGCACCCAGAAAGAACCAGCTCTGAAGATATGTTCTACAGGCCTTGGAGCATGAATAGATTTTCCCTCACAGCACCCAGAAAGAACCAGCTCTGAAGATATGTTCTACAGGCCTTGGACTTGAAGCCTGCAGAACTAGCAGACAATGGTTTCTGCTTAAGCCATCTAGTCTATGGTGACCTGAGCATTTAAGGCACTTAAGGACAATCGTCTACCAAATCAGGCTGTCTTGAGTGTTTGAAATCTCATTAGAGGTACAGAGCTTAGAATGGCATTTGATATAGAATAAGCACAAATAATATTAATCTATTATGAACTCTAAGCTTTTCTAAAGGCTCAGCTTCTTATTAGCTATTGATATAGAGTATATGATCTCAGAGGTATTATAGTCCTCTATGCTTCTAAGATATGAATTCCTTCCTTCTTCTTCCATAAGTTCTTACCCCAAGTTAAAATTATAACAGTACTGATGATAGAGTCACAGTAACAGCAACCATTTACATTTACTGGGCTGAGCTAAGTGATTTATAGATAGCATCGTCTCCACCTTCCTAATGGTATGTGTTCACTGCTGCTCTTTGCAGTCATCTTCCTGTTCATCAGGTCATGAGCTATGTTCCTCTCCTTTCAAACCTCATCTCTACTTTTCTCCCAGAACCTCTGCCCTCACCTTGGGATCAGGAAACTTCTTTCCCTGCATTTGTTGGGGTAAACGTTAAGTCCACCAGACTGCATTCAGGTCTTTTTACTTTGCATTTGTTTTTATTGCTGCATAGAGCATGCCAGCACTTAGTGCTTAAAGCATTAATGACGAACTCATTTCTCATGATTTCTCATTGCATTTCTCATGAATCTTGGCAGAAGTTCAGGAAAGGCTTGACTGAGCAATTCTGGCTCCAAGGTCTCAGTGCAGTTACACTCCAGTGGTGCCAGGTGTTAGGACAGCTGTGGCCTAGTCAATTATTGTTTTCTTTTCCTGAGGTCTCAGGACTACTCTGAGTAGTCTGCATGGATTGGTTTGGGCTTCCTTTTGGGGATAGTTAGACATCTCATATAGTGGTCCATGGGCGACAAACCTTAGTATATAGGAAGAAAGGAAAGCAGCTGTCCCTGAGGATTCTGAACTTGTAGTAGAGAAATGAAAGAGGAAACTGACTGCCAGATGTGTGCTGGGCTGAACTCAGGATTATGCATGTGCAAAGTATCCTGGTGATGCTTCAAAACATATTTGAAATAATAATTTGAAATAATATTTGCCATATTTGAAATAATAATTTGAATTATTGAATTTGAGAAGGTTGCTTTAAAGGCTTCTTTGAGAAAAAATTTTTTAAAGAGCACTATGCTCATGATGACATTTTTAGACTTTCTAAACATAACAGCAAGAATTCAAGTGAGAGTATTTTTACAGTAAGTAGACACAAAGGCCTTTCTGATGAGGAAAATCTGAAAATCCAATTTAGAGATTTTCTTTTCTTATTTCTTACTGTCAATTCACAATACTGATAAGGACCACCTTTTTCTCTTTCTTGTGAAGCCTAAGTATATGGGTATGGACTAGAAGTTATGCCATATTTCCTTTGCTTTTATGAAATGAATAACTAAACCACACATGCAGAAGGCTTCAGACGTTCCCAAAGCAATGTGAAATCTGCAAGTGAACTTTCTTTTTTTGTTACATTTTGAAAACTAGCATAAATTATTCAAAGAGTTTCACTGTGATAATTCTATATAAGCTATAATATGCTTTGATAAACTTCATACCTCTGTTATTCTTTCCTTTAAAGTTTTTAGTTGATTTCATTATGCTATTTTCATACAAACACATAATGTATTTCAATTATATTCACCCCATCACCCTCTCCTCCTTCGCCCCTAATTTTAGCCCTCCTTTACAATCATGTCATAATATTATTATTATTGTTATTATTATTTCTTAGGTGTAGAATCTGAATATAACACAAAACTGGAATATGTGATAGTTGGCTTTCTGAGCTTGCTCAGCATGATGTGTCTAGTTCCATCCATTTTCCTACCTAATTCCATTCTTTATGGCCAAGCAATACTCCTTTGGGTAGATGTAACATATTTTCTTAATTCATTCATTAGCTGCTGGGTACCCAGGCTGACTTCATAGATTGATTATTGTGAATAGTGCTGCAGTTGTATCTATTGTGTGCGATGCATACATTAATGTGTTCAGTTCTATTTAGAGGGAGATAGTTACACATCGTGGAATATTTTATCGAAAATGATGGGGCATACAGTAGCTCTCCAGGTAAAAAGAGGTTCAATTCTAACTGTAGAGGAAGTTGACTGAGTGGTTGATTAAAACAGACCAATCAGCATCAAATTCCATGTCCAACTGTCTTGCAGGTCCTTCATTCCTTTACTGATGCCATATTTGATGAGTGGATGAAAAGATACAACCCCGCTAGAGATGCCTGGCCTCAGGAGCTGGCTCCCATTGGTCACAATCGGATGTATAACATGGTTCCTTTCTTCCCCCCGGTGACTAATGAGGAACTCTTCTTAGCTGCTGACCAACTTGGCTACAGTTATGCCATTGATCTGACAGGTAACTAACACAACTTCCAAATGGTGATTCATTTAACTTTTTTTTTTTTTGTCCGTTGTGGGGCCTGAACTCTGGGCCTGGGTGCTGTCCCTCAGCTCTTCAGCTCAAGGCTAGCACTCTACCACTTGAGCCACAGCGCCAGTTCTGGCTTTTTCTGTTTATGTGGTGCTGAAGAATCCAACCCAGGGCCTCATGCATGCAAGGCAAGCACTGTACTACTGAGCCACCTTTCCAGCCTCTCATTTAACTTTTAAAAGACCTTTCTTCTCTTCCCTTCTTTCCTTCCTTCCTTCCTTGCTTCCTTCCTTCCTTCCTTCCTAATGTGAACCAAAACCTTTAATTGAAACATTCCGTTGTAGTTAAGCTTATTGGCACTTTTCTAGAATATATGTATATAACAAGACAAGCTATTAAACTAACAAATAAATATCAGAGACTAGCAAGCAGACTCTTGTCTTAAAAAAAGAAGTTATTATGTGACCTCATCCCACAGAGTAACTATCTACCCCTCTACTTGATTTGACAATTCTATCTGAATTAATAGAATGCATAGAAAACTGTCCTATGGTCACTGAAATGTCTGACAAGAAAGTCAAATAGAACTAGCCCAGAGAGAGACCATTGCCTGAGGGCAGGGCCAGGATTTTGGTGAGACAAGTACAGGATTTGCTTTTAGCATAAAATTCAAAGGGAGGCTAAAAACCTCAGTTAATTATGTTAAGTAATAATATAATGCAATATTTTAGAAGAAGAATTTCATGATGAACAATCCAGCATCATCATTTTCAATAACAATTGTTTTCCAACAACTGGATTGGTCATTTTCTATCAGTCTTGAGGGACGGAATTTTTTGAGCATCTGGATAGATCATTTAAAAAGAAATGACAAGTCAGGCACTGGTGGCTCATGCCTGTAATCCTAGCTACTCTGGAAGCTGAGATCTGAGGTTTGAGGTTCAAAGCCAGCCCAGGCAGGAACTCTTATCTCCAATAAATCACCAGAAATCTGGAAGTGGTGCTATGGCTCAAATGGTAGAGCACTGACTTTGGGCTGAAGAGCTCAGGGACAGCGCCTAGGCCCCAGAGTTCAAGACCCACAACTGACAAAAAAAAAAAAAAGACAGATAAGCTGATTTCATAGAGAAGCATAAATATATTATAAATAAAATGCATTAATTTTGTTGGAGAGGACTCTAAAAATATATATATGAGTGGGTGATTGGATGACTGGGGAAGTCAGATTTTGATCACGATCATTAACATGAGCAGAAATGTTATCTATGTCTGCTGTTCTCTCTTGTTAGAGCCAATGTACTTGTCTCATATGTTTGTCACCTGCGAAAGTGGCAGAACCTCCAGCAGAATTTTCTACCAAGGGTTGTGTATTTAACAATTCTCCAGATACCATGTTAGCATTCAAATGAGTTTCCATCTTACAGAAGCAGTTAGGTACTCCCTTAGAGGGCTTATTTTGCACATAAGCATTTATCGTAACAAATTTTAAAATGTCATAAGCTGTATGTAAACAATGGGATGTCACTTCCAACTTCTTGAAGAAAACAGTTGTGATTAATAGTTTGTGAGCAAAGAGAAGATAAAATTATATTCTAGCAGTGGTGGATTGCTTTGTTGGCAGAATGAGCTTCCCTTTCCCCTTCTAACCATATTCAGCTGACGAATAGTCTCATCAGAGCATCTTCTCTTCTGCTTTCATTTCAGTTGAAGAAACTCCAGGTTGGACCACAACACTCTCAGTGGTTATGGGGACGCTGGTGGCTTTGGTTGGTCTTTTTGTGCTGCTGGCTTTCTTTCAATACAGAAAACTTCGAAGAGGATACACACCTCTCATGGAGACAAATTTAAGCACTAAAAGATATACAGGGGAAGACTAGGGTATTCAGGCCTCATCCTAGATCAGATATCAGCCAAGTTATGCTTCTAGCCTGGATGGTAATCAAAGAAATGCTCAAGGCTCTTTCTTTAGCTGGAGATCTTTGGCTTAGCTTCTATTATTGTCATGTTGATCCCAAATAACAATGCTTAGCTGTAGTTCATGTTTTGCTTGTTTGCTTAACAAACTCAAGCTCACTCAAGTGCTTGGGGCTGTCTCTATCATCAAAGTAAGATAGAACTGATAATTTGTGGTTAAGAATTCACTATATTGATCGAATCTTTCCCTTTTCCTAAAAGCACCCGAAAATGTGTTGAGTGGATTTAAATTTGTAGGCTAGTGCTGTTTGAGACCTGGATGGGAGACGGTTTCATCTTTTTTAGTCCAAGTGTTTTTGTTTATAATGATGTGGAGGTGGGAGTGGATATTAATTAGCTTTTCATAACTATTCCAAAATTACCTGAGGCAGGTTAACTTGGTGAAGAAAAGTTAGTTCTGGCTCCCTTGTCTGTCAGTACAGGTCTAGTGTTTGTCTCTGAAGACAGTTTTCTTGTTGACAGAGTCCTGAGGTCATGCAGAACACCATAGGGGAAAATCAGGGAGAGGACATGTCTATATGTCTGTAGGGTTTTTCTCCCTCTTTTTAATAAAGCCCACCAGGATCCAACCACACATGCAGATGACCTTATCTATCCTAGTCATTACCATGATTGGATTGTTTCTACTGTTATACAGGAATTCAATCACCAGAAACAGAGAAGCCACTTTTTGAGAGGCCCAATCCCAAGTTGTTATTAGAAAGTTGACAATTTCAAGTGGACTCCTGTCCCAAAGACCTTCAGCTCAGAATATTGTTAGCACAAAGCTTTTAAAGGTGAAAAGCATGAGTCTTGAGTGGGGACCCAAGCTCAACAAAAGCAAACCATCTGGGGGAAAAATCCTGGGAAAGCATTCTCTGTAGCAAAACTTTCCTGGAGCTACTCATCATGATACATGTGCATTTTTAAGAATAGCCTATCTCGGGGCTGGGAAGATGGCTCAGTGGTAGAGAGCTTGCCTTGAATGCCTGAGGCTCTGGGTTCAATTCCTCAGCACCACACAAGCAAAAAGAAAAAAGCCAGAAGTGGCGCTGTGGCTCAAGTGGTAGAGCGGTAGCCTTGAGCTGAAGAGCTGAGGGACAGCGCCCAGGCCCAGAGTTCAGGCCCCACAACCGGACCCCCCCCCCAAAAAAAAAAGAATAGCCTATCTCACTTCTAGGCTTTTTGGAGATAGGTGGAAAGCCCTCACTGCCCATGAGATGCCAGAGTGACAATAGAACAAGGCACTGTTACTTAGACCCAGTATCCTTATTTCACTATCCTTTTTAAGCCTCATATTGGCGGCATTAGATGCTTGTCCCAGAAACATAGAGATCCCCAAGATCATACAAACTGTGTTTTAGGTGTCCTCCCTCTCATCTTTCTTAGGCTTTTGTTCCTCTTTTCTCTGTCTTTTCTTCTCTAGCCTTGAAGAAGAAAATTGATTTGGTTTTCCATATAGGACATAGAATGAAGAAATGAAGGATCCGTTCCCGTGCTCTTTTAAAAAAATGAATTGAGATGTACAGATTTGTTTTGATTTGCAGTTCTTAATACTAATAAGCTAAACACTGATCCTATAAACCTATAGAGCTTCCTAATTAATTAACATATTGCTCTAAACCTATTAGCAAGTATGGAGTCACTCTTTCCAGGAAAGTCTCCAGAGAAGGCTGGCAAGGCTAGAATCCTGAACATGAGAAGCCTACTCAGGAGGCAAGGTGGACGGAGGAGGCAATGGGGAAATAAAAATAAAAATAATAACAATGAAAGTACTGAAAAGTCTAGATCAGGAATTTGAAGCAGGAAAAGAAGGCTAAAACCATGAACTTTCCTCCCATCACTCCAGACTCCCTTTAGATGTTAAATAAAGTTATTGCCTTGGATAGGGAGACATTCAATAAAGGGCTGGCCTGTCTACTCCTTTTAGATGTTAAGATGCTGTAAGCTATTTGAATAGGGATATAATTGAGGGAGGGAGGGAAGAAAAGAGAGAGAGAGAATATATAAAAGGACATGATTGACAAATGAGGTTTTCCTATTTGTTTTTTGTGCATTTTTTTGGTGTGTTTTTTCTGTTCTTTTCTATATACTAGGTGTTACATTCAGGGCTTGAGTGCTGACTCTTGTTTTTTTTCTTTTCAAGTCTAGTGCTGTGCCATTCGAACCACAGCTCCACTCCCAGCTTTTTGGTGGTTAATTGGAGATAAAAGTCTCATGGACTTTGCTGCCCTCAAATCTCAGCCGGCAGAGTAGGGAGGATTATAGGTGTGAGCATAAGCACCACCCAGCGCTCCCTGTTTTTTGAGTATTAGACTGGCCCTAGATCCCGGTCACATCATGTGGTCATGGGAATTCATGATGGGCTCCCTGAACACCACAAGATAAGAACCACCATTTGAGTTTTCTTCACTGTTCTCTGTGGTGTGTGAAGCAGGAAATGTTTCTCTTTCCTTTCTTCTGTCCTCCAACTTTACCCTACCTTATTGAAATAAATCCCTGCTAAACTTTTATCTTGTAAGACTCTCCTTTTCATAAGACCCCTCAAAACCATTTTCCATGTAGAGCTCGTGACTGTAAACTGCATGGAAATGGGGAGCTGTAAGAACCCCCTCATGCCTTTTCTTCCCCTGGTAGCAATTAGGACATCATTACTCTGAGGTCTCATTTGGCCAATCCTGAACCAATTTCTTTATAAGGTAACCTTAGAGGAAAAAAAAGTCTATAAAATGCTTATTTTTAAGAGTCGACATGAAATTCATTAATGTTGGGCTGTCATTGATAGTTCTTCATGCATGCTAATCAATTAATCATATCACTGGAAAGCAATTTGTCTGTTCCTGATATGACAATTCAGAATTAAATGGTTATGTTCAGCTAAATAATGATCAGATCCTGAGATATGCAACAGAGGCAATCCTTTCTACGATGTTTAGACTTACCACGACAGTCCTCATGATGAGAAGTCAAATGTTAATGAGATTTCAAGGCCCAGACCTGTGCATCGGGAGTGAGGCTGAAGCACTAGAGAGGGCCTGTCAGTTGCCTTCTGTTGGCCCCTCGGTGCTGGGATGGATGTGTGTAAATAATGGCATTAGAATGACTCTGGAGCTGCCTTCTCCACATGGTGAGCCAAGAAGCTGCCTGGTTAATCAAGAATCAGTATGACTTCCTGGGTCAGACTGCTGAAGAATTAATATTATCCCCAGAGACATGGACAATGCCCAGCTGGAAATGAAATGAAGCTCAAGCCTCATAAACGACACATATCTCTGAGCCTTGAATTAGTAGACAGCACCAAGACAGGGGCTGGGAAGGTGGTTCAATGGTAGAGCGCTTGCTTTGCATGCCTGAGGTCCTGGGTTCAATTCCTCAGCACCACATAAGCAAAAAGAAAAAAGCCGGAAGTGGCGCTGTGGCTCAAGTGGCAGAGCGCTAGCCTTGAGCTAAAGAGCTGAAGGACAGTGCCCAGGCCCAGAGTTCAGGCCCCACAACCGGACCCAAAAAGAAAACACCAAGACAATCCAGGGTCCTGCACAGGATGAAGCCCACGTGGGCATTTTAGCCACAATCATATGCATATGAACCTCAATTCCTGCCATTATTAATCTTCATGAAAACAGCAGCAATGTATGGATCTCATGGTCCTCTATGGAAGGTTTATTCTCTGGGCTCGTGGTTGGTGGGGACACAGTTTTACAACAGCTTTAAAATGGAAAGAGAATTATAGTAAAATGAAGATATAATTGTGTATGGTAGGTATGTTCCTGAAAAGTTACGTATAAATCAATTGGATCTTAAAAGCACCAGGAAAAAAATCACTTTTTATAGATGAATTACTATGAATAATTCTATAAGGCAAGCAATCACCTCTTGTTTATCTTTTGGGTATTCAGAATTTTTATACATCATATTCTCATAAGATTTGGTTAAAACAAGATCTGAGGTAGACATAGGTAGTAATCATTTATACTTAGGTGCTTTTATCTATACTCTGTACAACTTCTTAGAAGTAATATGTTTTAGGATGTGCTCCTATCAGAAACAATTTTCTAATTTCATAGTTCATATAAAAGCAATAAAATTTCTTAGCATTTTCTAACTGTACAATAAATCAATTAAGAAGTGCTTTTTAAAACAAATCCAAAGGTAGAATTCACTTGCAGAATAAAAGATTGGTATTTACTTACATTGAATATTATGCAAATAAACTCAAGAAAATGTTACTGAGAATATGGGGCTATACTTTCCAATGATAGGGAGAAAATTTAACCTAAAAGAAAATGAATAGATGTCTTTACATGCTTATATTCTCAGTATTAGAAAAACTGTGTGCATATCAATTACGACTCCAATAGAAATGGTTTTATGAAATAAGCTGACATCCAGAAGTGAAATAAAATCTGGTAATTTCTTTCTTTCAGCTATCTTTTAAATTTAGAATTCTTTGACATTAATTTCAATCTTAATATCATTAGTTATAATATTTCTAATGAGTAATTGCCACTTGCCATTAATAAGTAATTAAAAACTTACTAAAAAGCAAAATAAATATCTTGCAAATCATTGTTCATCTTTGAAGAGTTCTTGTGTTTTGTTTTGTTTTTAATTAAATTTGTGTGCAATGATTCCCATCTTCTGTTCCCTCAACATACATATATTGTAATACACACACACACGCACACACACACACACACACACACACACACACATATATATATATAACAACAACTTCACTCCTGTTTTCTCATTGTTATGATAAAGGTAATATACATAAGTCAGGCAAATAGGTACATTTTTGGGGGGACATCACCCCTTCCCTTTCCTTGCTCTCTCCCATTTTACCCTCCTGTCCTTGCCTGCAAGTTGTGTGGTTCATTTTCAACATAGTGTCTAGAGAGTACCACTGCTGCATTTATCCCTC